ATTACATTTCCGATTTTAGTCGCTTTAATCGATCTACCATCTCCGAGGTAGATATTTACCGGCTCTTTTAAAGTAATACATTTTTCAAAATATTCATCATTATTTATTATGTGGTCTGTACAACCGCTGTCGAGCAGCCACTTTATTTCGTATTTACTTATCTTATTTAAATTTACGCCGTGCGCTGTGTGAGCCACCGTCGCTAACCAAGCATCCATTCTTCCGCTGCTTTGCTGGCTCGTGCTRGCTGCCTGTTGCGGAGGTCCACGCCATCTTCCATAATGGCTCCTTCCGCCTCTGCCTCTGCCTCGACCACGTGTCGAATYTTGCGRGGYTTCCCTGTTGCGTCCATCTTGTCCGCCATCTTTRCAATTACGTGAATAATGTCCAATTTTTCCACACTTATAACACGCTCCTTTTTTATTTACAGCGAACACGTTCGATTTATTACCTCCTTGGTCATTGTTTTTTATCTCTGCTAACTTAATCTTATTTTTWACATAATCAGCCGTTTGATCTTCAACTTTCAATGTATCTATCAAGTCACCTATATAACTATAAGATTCATTTTTTCAATTTCATTTTTTCCAACTTGATTCTACACAGTAACTGTAAAGCCGTTGATTCTCTCAAATGCATGCTATCAAGTTTCTGCATAATTTTATACGCGGTATCTTCTTCGCATACAAATTCCAACTGCTTATTTGAAATAGCACTGTATATATAATTAATTGCTTTTAAGTCTTTTTCTTCCCAGTCATCTCTATCTGTAGCTACCTTTTCTCTTTCAACCACTTCATGACACTTTTTGAGTTTCAAGTACATCATTATTCGTTTTTTCCACATACCGTAGTCTTCACCATCAAATACTGGAATTGTTATGTCACAATTACCTGCCATTTTGTCTTCGTACTTCTCGAACGTTCCTTCGTGTTCAGAATTTTTACGCACAGGCTTGGTTTCTTTCTTGACTACCGGCTTATCGGTTTCTTCCATACRACCACGTGTTTTACAGTCCGGAATCTTAATCCATTCACATCACAGCTCCATCGCAATTCTTCCACAAAACTTTTAGCAACCACGCTCTGCTACCATGTTAAGGAAAACAGGAGGGAATTTATATGAAGGTTAATCATTATAAAAAGTTAAAGATTTTTGAGGTTCCAGTCATCAGAATATGTGTAAAGAATAACTTGTAAAAATTTTAGCCTAATCGGTTCTATAGTTTTTAGTGAGTGCTTCCGCAAAATTTCAAAAACGTAGTTTCGAGAAAAACGCGTTTAAAGTTTTGAGAACAGATTTTTTATAAAAAAATTATACTAACATTATTCTGCTATGTCTGGTGCATACAGTAGTCCTTCAACTTCCTCATAATTATTATTTTAAACAGCTTTGAGAACCCTACGTAGGTTTTGGCCTCTTTAGAGTAAGCTTCTGTAGATTTTTCGCTCTCAAAATACGAGCATTATCAACGGTGTCGACGTAGTTTCTGGCTGTTTGAACAATGTATTTAACGTATTTCAAACCATAACGCTCCTCAGAACGCTTGAATATTTCAGAAACACTGTCGACCTCCATTTTGCCATTGCTACCCTCGTGATTTGTTGTGCATTCATTTTTGTGATCTTCAGATAAACTCTCAGCTTCGATGGGGTTTTTTGTTGCTAAATACTGACATGCTTTACATATGCTTGATTTTACTATCACATCAATTATTTTATTCGAAAATTTGCTTATCAACAACACAATACCTAACAGTGAATAAATAGAGGCGTTCTGAATTATACAAACTACGGCGCGCTCCATACTTTCGGTTATAACTTTGAGAATACTTTGAATATCGGTCTGAAATTTTCGAAGCATATTTTCGAAATGTTTTTCTTACGAAATATGTAAAAAAAAAAATTCGATTTTTTTAAATCGACACAGGGGGGTACTACCTTAACAAATACTAATAAAAAAGTAAAAGATTAACAACTTATAAATATATACTCACATTTGTATGTTGTTTCCGAAATTTTTGATGAAGAGCTGCACAACTACACAAATCACAAATATTTCCATGAAAATATAGGCATTTGAAATCACAAATATTTGTAGCTTCAGAATATGGACAAAGAGGTTTAGATGAAGGATTAAAAGTTTGATTCGATGGACTTACTACTTGAACATCTGTAAGAGGTTTGGATGTATCAGTTGATGTTCCTGAAGTATTAAACATTTCGTTGTTGGATGTAGAAGAACCAGCAACTGATGAGATAGTCGATGGTATAAGTTCAAGAGCTTTAACCAATTCTTCAGTCATGTTAATACTTCCTATACTGCTAACATAAATAATTCTGATATCATTATTATTTTCTAATGGAAAGAAACTATTTCATCAAAATGTGTTTTCTAAAGGTAATGTGTTTTCTACGTAAAGGTCTTTGCCATATAAACGTCTGCACGTTTTGCCTAAAACCGCACTGGTGATCTCCCATTGTCTTGTCCGCATACGCTAATAAAATATTTGACAAGATTTTATAGCACGTGGTAAGAGTAATGAGATCCCCCTGTAATTATTGAAATTTATTTTGTCGCTTTTTTTAAAAATTGGAATTATAATGGACTCTTTCCATTGTTCCGGCAATGTTTCCTCTTATTCCATATTAATTTAGTTAATTCATAAATTTCATCAATCAATCTACTTCCCCCCTCCCACCATTTGATTAACTCATCTGGAATCGAGTCGGTACCCGGTGATTTATAATTTTTTAATTTTTTTGTGTGGAACACAAAATTCCCTATTTCCTGGTCGTTCTCAAATTTTACATTCAATAACCGGTCAAAATAATTTTTGCCACGTGTCTAATACACCCGTTGCATCCGTAATTAAATTATTGTTTCTATCTTTCACTAGTTCCGTCCTAGCTCTTGGAATCTCTTTCTAAGTCTATTTATCCCCAAGTACATACCACGGACGTTACTGCTTTGGCAATTTTCATCTATTTCTTCTAATATTACAAAATTGATCCTGGATTACATCCGTGTTTTGGGTCAGCCATGTGATACGCACTTCGTTTCGTATTTTGACGGCTATCTCGCATTCTTCGTTGAATCACGCGGTTTGTTTTTGTATCTTTTACAAAAACCAACGGTGGCTTTTGTCGATATAACTTTTACATCGCGTATATTTTCTCATTTTTTATCTATACTGTCCTCCAATTCGTCGATTTTCTTTGCAGACGCGAGTCCACGATTTATTAATGAAAGTTAATAGAGTTTTTGAAAATAAAAGTTTACACCTTACCTGCAAATAATAATTTTACGTGTCCAATCGTCGGTGAATTTCTCAAACTTCCACTGTAACACTGATTAACCACTCGTTCTCCGAGAATCGCTTGTAAATGTCAGCAAAGACTGCTAGAAGAAAAATGAGGGATGAACTTTTATAGGTTCCGTAGAACTATGGAAAGGGCCTTTTATAGGTTTTCAGGTTTAGGAGAGGGGTGAAAAAATGAATGAACCTGGAAGAAGCTACAACGAATAATCTTTTATTTCTAACCCTGATTCTACTTATCTCTGTCTTCTTTTGTTTATCATAGAAAATGTCGAAAAAGGGAAAGATTCTTTGGAAAAGACGAAAGATACTATCTTTTGTGTTTCTTTTGTTACTAATAACGGTCCGAAAAACTTTCTAAGTCAGGCATACGATAAATCTTTACAACAAGACAAAGAAAATGAAACGGAATATTTTTCCTTCGAACGTGCAGGTATTTTTTCTGTATTTTTTCAGCTGACAATTTAGATAGAATTTTTTCTCAAAGACTGTTCAAGGTTCTTTCGAGAGAAATTTTGTTCTTTTGTTTTTTTTTTGTTTCTTTTTTTCTTTTATTCTTTTTTCTAATTGTTCTACTGATCAATGTTTTTTTTTCTCATCGTCCACCTTAGAAATTATCAATGTGTAGAACATTTTTCACAGTTCCGATAGAAACGATCTCACCTAAATTTTTTAATAAAAAAAAAAAAAGTAGTTTCAATGACAATAATTTATTACAGGGTTAAAGATTTCTTTTCGAAAAAATTAATTGTCAGTTACAATAAAAAAAAATAAATGTTTAATTTGAAAAATATCTTTACGTTAACAAATATTACGTAGGACAAAAATATTATAACTATATATTTAAATAACAAATAAATAATATATTTAAATACACAATAATAAAATTATTTATAAATATCATATCAATCTTTATTGTATTGTACCATTTTAGGAATTGCATATA